GCGCGTCGGAAACACCAGGCGTCCCAGGACAATGCACATTGCCTCGTCCCGGTTGACATGATAGCGTTGTGTGGTTATGACAACGGCAGGTAGTCCGAGCAGGTATCCCAGGCTCTTTATTCTAGCAACGTCAAAACGAAAATCAAGCCGAGCATTGGCATCGGGCACACGGTTGAGATTAAATCTTATGTCTGGTACAAGAGGACGTTGCACATAGGCCAGGGCACACAACAGGAGGATACGTCGGCGTTGCTGACTTGTACGGGCCAAGGGCAGGAGTTGGTGGAGCTCGATCTGCGTCAGAACCATCAGCCACACTGAACGACGACTGGTGCCAAAGTGTTCGCGCGCTTTCAAATCAGCCGGTTAATTATACGGATGAATTTCACGGAAGTGGCAGTCGCAAAACGCAAATCTGGGCGCTGCCACTGCGACCGCAATTGTCACAATCCGAAGCATTTTAGCAGTTTCGGAATGGGAGTGGACGGTTGCAAAACCTCTCTAATACAGTACCTTAGAGCTTGGTACTACTGGTGGTGTGGAACATCCGCCAGGATCGTCCTGGCGGAAGAGCCTGGTACTACTGGCTCTAAGGTACTGTACTGTCATTGCTAGCTGGCGAGTTGCAGGCAAAACTTCATTATGTTGTTCATCTGCCATGGTCAAAGCACTTATAACCAATCAATGGACACAGGTCATTCGGTCCGACTTTCTTCTGTCAATATCTCACGTCTGGTTTTGACATCGCTTTTGTATATAATAAATATTACAGCGAACAAGAAAGTTGGACAAACGATCCGATAAGAAGGGCTACAAGGACCGAACTTCGAAGAAGCTCGGTCGAAGTACGAGGTATGGTGCACGAAAGCTAGAAACGACGAACAGGCCCAATCGTTTGCCCTACGTTTTTCTATTTAACCTATATATTTTGGGATAAAACCTATTTGAGATGAGAGTTAAACAGTAAGCTGCCAGGTTAAACCTTGGATAATGATAGGTTAAACTCAATCTACGTACGGATAAAGTGTACGGATAACTGGCCCATACAAACGTCAAGACGTATGGGGTGGCCAAAATACGTCCGAGCCCATACATTTCTGTTGTAGCAAGGCGATGGGTTAAACTAAAATAGCTCTCTCATTTTTTCGTCAATTGCGAATTGGAACCACATGATCGATTCGCTTTGTCTAAATCTATCGTTTTTGTGGTTAATTTGCCAGGAAAAAATAATA